CTGTGCCCGCCCCACTTTACAGAGGGGGAAACTGAGGCTCCCTAGGGGGGTCTGCTGTGTGCAAGCCCTGCGGGGACCATGGGGGCCGGGCCCACAGTCCGGGATGGGAGGAGCATGGATCAGCCCCACCTGGGTCAGTGCCAGGTCCAGGCCCTGAGCTACACCTTCTTAGGTGGCTCCTCAAACTTGGGAGACAAGAGCTGTGCCCGCCCCACTTTACAGAGGGGGAAACTGAGGCTCCCTAGGGGCTAGAAGGGAGCAGGGGGCGTTAGCCTGCAGTGGCCCCAGCTTCTCAGCCAGGCCTCCCGAGCTCCCTGAGCGGTCAGTTTTGTCATCTTTAGAGCCACTCACACTTGTTCTTCAGTAAACTGACTTTTGTTGTTGTTTTTTAAAAATTTACTGAGATGAAATTCATATAGCTTCCAATAACCGTTTTAAAGTGAGCGATTCAGTAGCCTTTTAGTACTTCCTGTGTGACAGCCACCTGAAACTAGTTGCAAAACATCTTCATGACCCCAAAAGGAGTCTGTGCACCCACCAAGCTTCATCCTGTCTGCAGAAGCATCCACTCGGCAGGCTGCTTTGGCACAGGTCACACAGGATGTGACCCTCTGGATCTGGCTTCTCTCACTTAGCGTAATGTTTTGAGGTTCCTCCCCAAGGTAGCATGGGTTAACACAATAATTTTGTATTTATTTGAGACAGGGTCTCACTATGTAGTCCAGGCTGACCTCAAACTTGTGATTCTCCTGCCTCAGCCTCCTGAGGGCTGGGATTACAGGCATGCACCACTACACCTGACTAATACTTTGATTTGTAAAGGAATTTGTATTACTGCCAGCAAGAGCAAACATATATTCATTTCCATAATGGAAATTAGTGTTAAAAACAATGGTCACATGGGCCAGAGATTTAGCTCAGCGGTTCCACCACCTGCCTTGCAAGCCCAAGGTCCCAAGTTCCATGCCCAGTACCAAAAGAAAGAAACAGTGGTCGCAGAAGAATTGTATGAAATTCAAGCTGGGTCCTGTTGTGTGCTAAAGGCCCTGACTGAGCTGGGGGCCTGCCCTGCCTCAACACAGGAGAGGGTCAGGAGAGGGTCAGAGCCCAGGCGGCCCCCCAGGAGGTTAAGCAGAAGAGCCCAAGGAGGCCTGAGGCGGGACTGAGGTGATGCTGTCTAAGAGATCTTCCAGGGCAGACGGGGGCCCCGGGCACGGCAGGTGGGTTTAAAGGGGAGACAGGCACAGTGAGACAGCTGGAGCCGCCCTGCTCCTGTGCGATGGAGAGAACCCCCTTGGCCGACGTCCCCTTACCACACCCCTTCCCGCTCACAGCATGGGTGGGAACCGTGACACCCAGGACGCTTTCTGGACTCAGATTCCCTGATGTACGTGTCCCGCTCTATGTCAGTAGGTCTGCTTTATTTCCTGTACCTTTGTCACATATTTTAGCATCTGGATGAACTAATCCACCCTTTTACAGGGCTGCTGTGGCCATTTTCCTGCATTTACTCTTCAGAGTGACTTGGGAACATCAAATCAGGGGTGGAGACCCGGTCACACAAGGCTCTGGCCGCAGGGCCCGCAGCCAGGCAGTGAGGCAGCAGGTACAGGCCTGGCAGGCTGGGGTCAGGAAGGACTGACTGTTCGCTGGCGGAAGGCTTTGGACGTCCTTAACATCCAGCACCATTTGCTGCCTGCACCTTTCAGCTGAATACTGTAACCTCAGCTTCCTTTAAACCAACTCGCTTTTCAAATACTCATAAACCGAGTTTTAACGAAAAGTTCAGTGATCATGGGCACTTGTGGGACCCTGCCGCACCCCCTCCTTCAGGTGAACGCAGCTGGACTCCAGCTGCCTGCTCTGCCCTTCCTCACTGCGAGCTCCGCACACCTGCGCC